ATTAAAAATGAGTAAAAAGTAGTTTGACTATAATATCGAGTGGCAACACACATGCCGTTAAAAATAAAAAGTATAGTAAAGTAAAGAGCAGGGCAATTAAAAATGAAGTGATGGCGCATTTTCATTTAATTTTACATTTCCCATAGTTGTTTAAAGTTACAGAAGAGATGAATATATGTAGAAGTTTAAGAAGTGTTACTTAAAGACTAATGAAGTTTATTTCTCTAAATGGCTACACTTTCCTGCTATTTTGGATTTAAACAAAAATAAGGGCTGTAGCAAAGGGACAAATCTTTCCTAGTCTCCATTTTCTATGATTTCATACTTATAACTCGATCTCAGTTTTCAGTTACACTATGCATAGGAAACATTCCCAAATATATATACTTTTTTTTTTTTTGCAAAATTCCTATCTCAAAATGATGAGGGAGGGAGAGAGGGAGGGAGAGGGAATGGGGGAGTCAGGGACTGTTAATATGGCCTATGAATTGACAATACATAAACCCTCAAAGAATGGATCAAGATAATATAAATATTGGTATATTGATTTACTTCTCTGGATCTTTTTCATTTTATACAAATTAAGAACCTCTCAAAGTGGAATGTATCCCCTAAATTTGACACTAAGCAAATTTATTAGTGACATTCTATAACGATGCACCTTTTCTGCAAGAGGACAAAACCAAAATAACCGACACAAAATTACTTACTGTTTCCAAATCCTTTGGGTCAGTGACTTCCCAGCACTTGAGGGTGGGAAGGATTTCAATGGCCATGTTTAACGCCAGCTGATAGCCCTCTGCAACATCTGTGGGAGTGAGGCCCATGCGAATGAGGTCCTCGGCCGCCTCTAACAAGGCTCCAGCAAATATGATAACCCAATTTGTTCCATCCCCCATTTCTTGTTCTTGCATCTGAGAGGCCAGGACCATCAGTTTGGCTGCTGGGTGTTCAACCTACAAATGAAAAAGCCCATTCAGTAAATACACATTTAAGAAGGAATATCATTAACATCAGTTTATTACCATTTCTAATGCATATTAGGTTCTAAATTATGGATTTTATTTATTCATTTATTTCTTTTATTCCAAAAGCTGTGGGCACAATAGGAATAGGAATATGTCAAATGTCATTTAAGCCACATAGCATCAATGTTCCTATAACATTCATTTTCAGGAACAAACCTTTCTATGAAGGGCTGACAGCTATCCAAAACCTTCATTGTAAATTACTTCATCCTGACCAAAAAAATTTCACTGTTAGCTTCATTTAATAATTTCTTTCCTAACTCTCACCTCCAGTTCTCTGATGATGGTGGCAGCATCGTTGGTTACAAACAGCTTCTCGAGGTGGTTGATGACCATCTTGTTACGGCCTTGTGGTCCATAGGCGGTCTTTAGTGTGTTGCTGAATTCCTTGCATGCTGCGATGTTACGGAACACAGCCTCCTCCAGCCCGGAATAGTGCTGGAAAATGAGAAGACAAATTAGAAAATACATATCACAACTAATGATAATCTATACTGGTAATTCTTAAACCTATGACTGCAAAGACAAATAAAGCGTGTAGTTGAGCAGAGACTAAGTTCACCTTAAGTATAGCAATACTTTCTACAATCTGGATGACGTGATCAATAAATCATTAAAAAATTTGGCTTGTGGGGTGGGTGACATGAATGTATCTTCATGGGAAATTTTAGCTGTGGAACAGGGTACGTAACTTGCTGTCATGACTATTTCGACAGAAGGCCAGGGAGAAGGGAATGACTCATTACATGTGATAAGACTTCTTTAGCATTCAGGAAGGGGCTTTTGCATTATTTCTATTAATCAGTGTAGAATATACCATCCATAACAAATAGCAAAATGTTACTTATTGTTATCATTATTGTATTGAATTATTGATTAAATAGAGAAATGACAGTCTGTGTAAGGAAAACAATCCATTTCCATATGGATAAAGTGAATCAAATGACAAAGAGACATGGAAAATGGTATAAAACACACTTTTGCAGAAAAAGTAAAAATAACTTTGCAAAGGGGAGGCACAGAGTTTTTGTCTGTGGCTGGCCTACAAGCTGCACACCTTTCAGTGAAGCATCCAGATTCAATGGGTTAAGGGGCACTACCGTGTTTTTTTTATTTTTATTTTTTTATTTTTTTTTATTTTTTTATGTGCCCAATCCTCATTTCAAGATTTATTCATATTTTCATGGAAATATAATAAATGACACAAATAACAATGTTTTATTGTTACTGCTATTGCACAAAATGTAAACTACCTGAAGAGATAATACTGATTTTGCTAAACTAAAATGGTTCTCTCTCATTTATAATGCATCATACAAATGACAAATATTGACATCACAAAATGGCAAAACAATACAATTTACATCTGTAGTTATAGGGCTTCTAGCTTTGCAAAGAGTAAGCATGGAGCCTTGATACTGCACTTGAGTGTTCGTGTGGGCAGGGCCACACACACTCGAGGCTGCCACTCTGGGAAGCCTAACGCAGGACTTCGGTTCACATGTGTGCTTGTAGGCAGCTGGCTCAAACAGATTAACTTCTGGGTATTTGTTTCTGGGAGTGATGCATGCTCCAGGGACTAAGTCCCAAAACCAGGTTTTTAAGAGTTTTTATATATTCGCACATACCAAAACATTTGGGTATCATGCAAATTAAAAAATCTGAAAGTAACCTAACATTTATTACCATGATAGGGGGGGGAAAGCCCCCTGTGTATCCCCCTTACTAGCACTTTGGGCTAATTAACTAAAAAACGGACTTATAGAAAATGTGACATTAAGAAGTCTAGCAGTGTGAGGGTGTTGTAGACTTAGTCCTTAAGTGGTGATATGCGGTGGATACTTTTGTCAGTTCGCAGTAAATGTGAGGCCGCACTAGCTGCACCTGTGTTGTTTAGTGCTATTTCTTATGCTCTCTAGCGTGGCAGCGTCCATTTCCCTCTATCTCGGAGCACAGTATCGTTAACCAACCTCAGACCTAACTGTCCTCCTTCACTAACGCAGATTACATTTCGAGGGATTGTCATTTGGATTCCTTTGTGGGGAGGAAATAGCATTAATTTCTCTCTCTCTCTGAGTGGTCGTTTTCAGGCCTATTACAGATCTATCAAAAATAAATATATAGTCTTCCTGCAGCGAAAAATATAAAAGATATAATAAATCGAATTGGATTTCCCCCCAAATTTGGACAATTATCCATCGTGAGTCAATGACTGACATGCATGAGTCACCCAAGTCAAAAAAAAAATACAAATAGAAGTAAACCGACAATCATATTTCTCCATTCATACATAATTTTACCCCCGCAGGACAATATTCTCTCAACAAAACGTAGAATTTATCTATTTTAGGGTTTATTTTCGAAACACAAGAAACCATGCGTGGTGGAGCACATGACAACCCGCCTGGCCAAACCTCAACAAATACCGAATTTAACCGAAAAATAAGCCTCTAGTGCGCTCCTTCTCACTAAAACCCTTCACTTTAGACTCACCCTGGCACCATCCTTGAGCATAGAGGCGAATCCCGGAGCTTTAGGGACGTGGAGAGCCATTTTGTGTGAATTTCTCGGTCCTTAGGCGTCTTTTAACAGGGAGGCGGCGAGCAGAAGGCAGGGCAGGGAGGCCAACATGACACCGGGAACGTTCTAGAATGTTCTATTTCTTCCAATTTTGTGGCGATTTAATGGCGTGGTGAAGTGGTTCGAGGGGAGGGTTTTCATGTCCGTGATAATTTCGTTAAGGTCCGAGGTTTGATTTATTGGGTTTAATGGGATATTTGTCTTTATTTCGGATGGCGGTGACTATGGAAGGGTTGGCAGTCCTGGCCGATATATACACATTACTAAGATATTTTTGTACAATTAATTGTATTGAAATTTTGTATTGAATTTGATGTTAATAAAATCTAGGAATCAGTAAGCACGTATATCAAGATTATTTTCTCTCACTTTAAAATAAGAATGCGAAAGCCATGTTCAATATAAAGCAAAATGGTTCCCAAGAAGTGACCAAATCAAAATGAAAAAAACAAAAAAACAATCCACATTTAATCACAATTACAATTATCTCGAAATTAACTTATACAGTATGATTAAGATGATTTGCATTGTGATTCTACATAAATAATCCCTAGAGATACTCCTCAGAGATTGGATTGCCGACTATGTATTTGCGTATAGAAGACCGGGTAACTGCGTCTGCTCAATAGATGGCGCTAAATGAGAAAGTATCGTCTGTTTGTTTACATTTACTGCGAAAATGAAACGGCAGCTAAAACACCCGTTGAATAAAAACACCAGTCCACTCCAGGAAGCAAAATGAATGACTGAATGAATGAATAAGAAACTAGCATTCGGTGTATGCACTTTCATTTACATGAATCCGATATGTTCTCTGGAGATGAAACACAATTGATAAGTTGCAATGCAATGACATGAATCATAATCACTATATGGTGGGAAAATTGTCATGGTACATAAACACGCATCTAGTTTATTATCCTATGTCCTGGACTGATGCAAATATCTTGCAACAAGACACCTTTTCTAGATCTTAAGAGACACATTAACACATGTAAAATTAAACTCCAGTCATAAGATACACCTATTGTTAAAAGTCTATGACATACTAGTGCATTGTTGAAGAGATCAAGATAGCAGAAAAGGAATCGACGCTTCCTCCATCGTTTTGAATTGCTATGTTTCCTTGTCCTATCTTTAGTCAGATGGCATTAGGAGCCCTTCCGATTGTAAACAATAGCTAGTCATCAAAATGGTATAACAAACCATAAAACAGATATACAGAAATACTTTGCAATATACATTTTTTTATATATATTTTATATTGCAATACATATATTTTCTTGGGGGGTAAAATCCAGTCAACAGATGACGCTCTTGTCGAAAGGATCTCTGGATCACATTTTCTTCAGTGCTCTGTAGTAAAAGTGTCTCGTCTTGCCTGCCCAGCCCTCCACCAGATGGCAGCAGGAGCCCGTCGGTGCCAGTGTTACTAGGCCGACGATGGCGTTGAGGTTGGGACGATATCTGGCTCCGGTAAGCAATTTCAGACGTTAATTTCTCCCTGTAATGTCGTTTCTTCGGATAATTATGCTAATTAACGGATTGTGGTTGTTGGTTATATTGTTCTTGTGGGAAGCATAAGGTGATTTAGTGCCTGTACTAGGAATAAACGTGAGGGAAATAACCGGTTGTGGATCAGCTGACTCCACCGGTCGCAGATCGGTGTCTATGACGCAATCTCCTTATACGCTGTTTTGAGGGTGACCTATTTATTTCTCCATTAGAATTTTGCACTGGTATCATCAATTCTCTCTAGTTCTCGCGAAGCTACGTTTGTATTACGTCAAGAAAGACCGAAACGAGGAAGAAATTTGTCTCCATTTAGAAGCAGACGATTTCTTAAATACTCGGCAGCACTATTTGTGAACCTTTCTATTCCCGTGCGATCCTTTGTATTTAAATCGTCTTACCTGTTTTTGAGACTTGGCAACTTTCCCGAGTTATGGATTTCTTCATTATTAGAAATTATTTTCATGAGGTTCTATAAATAAAACTAGAACCATGGTTGAATGTCTGGATTTCAATAACAATAACCACACAGGCACAAATCACATATATTTACTAGTTTTAAATGAACATGTTATATTAGTAATAGTACATAGAAGTTATAGATCAATAGATTCTTATACTGTGCACAGAACTTCTTGTTCAACAAGTTGCACAAGTTGAACAAAGATGGACAAGATGTTTTTACAGTTCAGAACCCCTACTTTGGTGTCCAAGACAAGTTGTCCATATCATCCATTTTGCCCTTCTTCAAAGCTGGATGAGCAGCATGAGATGCCACAATAGCATCTGCTTGTAAACAGTGATAGTTGCAGATAACCATAAGATAGTAGGTTATCAGCTGTTATGGTATTTGTTACTGAGAGAGACCCACCCTCCAAACCTAACCTTTCCTACCTTTTATTTATACCTTAGGCAGGGGGACAAGCCCCTTGTGCCCCCTCCCCCCCCTTTATTAGCACTTCATGCCAAATTAAGGAAAATGTGACCTAAGAACTCGGGTTGTGTGAGGCTGTTGTGGCCTCTGAGCGGTGATATGCAGCACTTGTTTTCATTATTTTGTGGGAAACCTGTGTTGATTATTACTATTTCTTACGCTCTATAAGTTGGCAGTGTCCATTTGTCCATCACTCTCAGTAACATTAACCACTGTTATTTTTGTTTGTCAGTTGCTGGTAAGTTAACTATGCATCAGACAGAGTTACAAAACCTATACAGCATGTAAAACAAAGATACTAGTAGAATAAAATAGTAAATGTTTACATTCAAGTTGGTTGCATTGGGGACAGTGAAGGCCTTAAAGGCCTCGAACAGGGTCTCATCATCCTAATTGTCGTGACAAGTTGCAGGACAAGCAAGGGAAGGAGTTCTGAATGCAGTATTAGGTATACTTTTCAAGTTATTCTAATGATCTTAGAAGTGATTTTTTTTGTGTATGTGTGATTCGAACAAGATTAATAATCGTTTAAGTATTTTTTTAGTATTACACATCCATCCAATCCTGTGACTTTTCCTTATTTCAATTATCAGCTTTGTAATATGTATGAATCTCTTGTTACTTTCCATCACAAATGAAATAAATGAAAGTATTGGTATAGTTTGCAAAGTGACCACACCCCTCTTGAGTCCCTACTACTACAGCCACTCCTGGGAAATCCACAAACATTCCCGTATGATCCTAACCTGCAGCCTTTATCCCAAACCCCCATCTGAGTGCTATGTTTCCCTATCTAAGGCTCATTTCCTGCTGCAGACTGACTCTCCAAGTGCCATTAGTCATGGTAAATATTCAGAACACCTTTGCGTGACCGATTACTACAAAAATGTTATCGCTGGATAATTCATGGGTTGTATTGAAGACATATTGAAGACATTTAACTGCCCCAATTGTAACAATGAGTGTAAAATAAACTTTAAAATAATAGACTTTGTCTGACAAATCTTGTGCTAATTAACAAGAAAAAATGTTGGTGTGTCTTTATGCAAATTATTTTTAAAGGTATGTGGTTTTATAAATATATATTGAATGTAGTAATTGATTTTCGTATTTATAATTTATTTTTATGAAAAGGATTTTCATATGGAATGATCTGTAATTAAGTAACAATTACATAAGTCTAGTTTTTTGTGAAGTGTTCATCTTGGTGTATAGAAAGCTGAATCAATTGAGTATGTGAAAAAAAAAAGTTGAGATATGTTCCACACAAGCACTAACAAGCATTTGCGGTGTGAATTTTTATAAGTTATTATTGAGTAAATTTGAAAGAAAGATAAACAAGATTTGGAAAAGTTAATTGATGATTTTGGCATCCCTTATTGCGGGGTAATGGACATGATTAGGGCAGGAAAGGCAGTGATGGCTAGACATCATTTCTTGTTATAGGGAGATCCTGTTTTCTATATTTGTTGCTGCAGATGAGTTTTAGTGTTAAGCTGTGAATGTTTTTCATGTTATGTTGTTATAAATGTTTATCATTAGTTTATAGTTTATTTGTACATTTCAATTACTTTTACATTTTTCAATTTTAGATTAACCATCATAATTCTCCATTATTGCAGAGCCTTGGGAGTGCCCTTCGGGGCCATTTGCAAGCAAGATGCTTCCACATGTCCCCCCTGGTGGCAGCAGCCCAGAAAGTGGCTATGTCTCACCTGGATCCTGGCAGTGAGATGCCATATGAGAAGCTCCAGGCAAACCTTAGCATTGTCAAGCAGAGGTAAAAGATGAAAAGGGAGACTTAGATAGTAATATATATATATATATATATATATATATATATATATATATATATATATATATATATATATATATATATATATATATTATTATTAGTTTGTGTATTCATTTTATTTATTCTTGCTCAGATCTTGGAATACATAGATGATGGTTTTCTTAAATAATTTTGAGTTTTTCATATTTCATATTTGTATGGGATGCAAGTGAAGGACAGATTGTTAAAAGTAAAAGTTGAGCTAGTGTTGCACAGTGACAGTGAGGATGTTGTACTTAAGCTAATGAGGTCTAATTCATGACCTTGTGTAAGAGGCTGGGTGTGTTTTGAGTGTATGAAGGGACTGAATCATCAGTGATTTTTAGTATAAAAATTGTAGGTGGTTTAGTACTTCAACCCATTTACTCTAGGAATATGATATGTTAGGCTCTCCCAGCATCAGTTGGCTGATATGTCAATTTTAAAGTGCATTGCTTTTTATGGAAAGCTTACTTGGAGTTGCCTTTATTTTACATAATTATATATTATATAATTTTTTGTATTTGAAATCTGTCTGTAGACTGAACCGACCAATGACCCTGTCGGAGAAAGTTCTGTACTCCCACTTGGACGATCCTACGAGCCAGGATATTGTACGTGGAGAGTCCTACCTCAAGCTTAGGCCTGACCGAGTGGCTATGCAGGATGCCACTGCCCAGATGGCCATGTTGCAGTTCATTAGTTCTGGCCTTCCTCGTGTAGCTGTGCCCTCCACCATTCATTGCGACCATCTTATTCAGGCTCAAGTGAGTTGATTAGTCTAAAGATTGGTAGTTAG